ACACACACACAGAGACACACACACACTACTACTACTAACACCACTGTCATCACAACGCTCCAGCGGAGCCTGTGTGTTTTCTATGACACTTAGAAAGTGTAACATTGACTGTGTAGCTGTCTTTCAAAATAAAAGCGTGGTTCTGTAACAACAATAAATGCACCAGTGAAAGTGACAGAAGTTAATTAAATTAAAGCTTAATTAGAAAAGTTTTAAAGAACATTAAAATCTAAATAATGAACTCTGCAGCTCTTTATAAACGTTCCACTACCGGTGTTATCCTGCAGGAGGCGGCACTGAGGTCATTCTACCTCCCCGATGAACCTCAGGACTTCGAGTTGCACGAGCTCGGCGGTCTGCAGCGTCTCCATAGCGACGACATCCTGAACCGTAATGGCGGTCAGGACAACAGGATCTCTCTGAAGGACGGAGGCGACGCCTGGCTGCTGAGGCCCAGACCTCGAGGGGCTGAGGTCATCAAGGTGTACGCCGGCTGGCCCAGGTGAGGCATGCTGGGAAATGGAGTTGAGCAATTCAGACGTTTATGTGACGCTGCTGGTTTGTGTGCTCACATTAGAAATACAGTCGGACAGAAGTGATCACAAGTTATGTTTTCAGAGAATGAAAGTTAAGAGAGTAGAAGAAAAGTTGGAACGTTGCATCAGGAACATTTTGATTTTATTCTTTTAAAGTTTTGTGTTCAAGACAAATTTAAGATTCAATTTTAAAAGAATCCCTGAATTCATCTTTGATGGGTTGTTGACATTTTTACCTGTTTGTGTGTTTGCAGGTCGGGTGCAGCTTTCGTGTGTGTCTCCGTCTCTAAGGACACCACGGCAGCTGTAGTCCTCACTGAGGTCCTCAGTCAGCTGGACAGACAGGTACAGTCAAACCCAGGTCCTCTCAAACATAGAGGACAAAGTAAACGCAGATTGAAGAGTCACAGCAGCAAAAAGGACGAGAGTCGATGTGTAGAGCGAGTCGTGGAACAGGTTGATGGTTCAATCCCTGGCTCCTGTGGTCTGCAGTGTCTTCAGGCAACACACTGATTCCATCTGTCCACAATGGTTTCAAGTGATTATATAAAATAAATATCAATAAAATGAGTTTTTGTGTAGAAGCAGTTCAAATAATTATTTTGCCGTTTAGCTCCATTCCTGCTCACTACTGCCCCCTAGGTGAACTTAGGTTGAACAGCATACATAGGAAGTGGACAGGCTCTCGTAGACGGACACGATGAAGTAACTGAACCACAATGCAGTTGGGCAATAAATGATGCCACCACATTCAAAGTAAATGAGCAGCTGACGTCTCTGTCGTTCCAGGAGGACGAGTCCAGCTTCAGTCTTCTGGAGGTCTTCATGAGCAGCAAGCAAGGTGAGGCGTCCGTCAATCAACACGTTAGTAAACACCAGCGTGGCCCCTTTAAATCCACGAAGAAGAACGAGCCGTCACACAAATCTGAAAAAATGTCAACAAATTTTAAATGATTTAATCGTCTGATAATTTACACACAGCCTCAAAATAGAATTTTCTGTGAACGGTTGAAGTCGTGTGACGGTTTAGAGCTGAAGGTCACGACCTGTCCTCCTGTCCTGTAGTGCAGAGACAGACGCTGACGCCTCAGGAGAAGATTCTGGACAAACTGCAGGGGATCAGGAAGGTGAGAAGAGACGCAGACGCTCGTCCGTCCACAAACTTTTCACCAGAACGTCTAAAACATTTAAAACTGGAGACATTAAATCATTAGGAGAAGAAAGAATGGGATTAAAAAAGAATGTTCTGCGTCTCTGCAGTTGTCTCTTCGACAGATGAACCAGACTCGGTTCTACGTCGTGGAGAACAGGAAGCGGGCGGTGCAAGTCAACCTGCTGATTGGAGGACTGCCCCCCCTGTTGGCCAGAGAGGAGTACGTCCAGCTGATCCAGGAACAGCTGACCATCAAGAGTGAGTCTGAGCTCCGCACAACACGACATGATGTCATCGAGGGTTAGAGGTTATTGGGTCTGACATGTTTATTTACAACCTGTGGAATCACCTCACGTCTGAGCGTGTTGTTGTTTGTTTGTTTTGACTCTCCGGTGACACCTTGTGGCTGGAGGCTGCATGTTCTCAGGTTGTCCGTCACACGTTCATTGTGAAAGTGATATTTCAAGAACACGTTCGAGGGAACGTCTTCAGATCAGTTACAAACATCAGTTAAACTCACAAGATGAACCCCTCCCCCTTCTCTCTGCAGATCACCTGGTCACCATCACCCACATCTACCCCAGTGAAGGTGAGACGGTCGTCAAGGAAACCGCGGAGATAAGCACGAGTGCAGGTCGACGTGTGTCATCTCTTTCTTTGTGTGTGTGTGTGTGTGTGTGTGTGTGTGTGTGTGTGTGTGTGTGTGTGTGTGTGTGTGTGTGTGTGTGTGTGTGCTCAGGTGCAGTAGTGCTGCAGGTCTCGTGTTTCTCTGAAGCAGAGAGGATCTACATGTTGGCTAAAGACACGTCTG